CCATACAATGTTGTCAACATTTCAAATTTTTTCAAATCAGTCACATACAAACGTTTAGACAAAAAACAAACATTTTTATTGTATTGTTCCTTGTGAAACTGATGTTAATAGCGATGTACTATTAATTGTATACATAAAATGTAGAATAGAAGCCACCATATTTTAGGCTGCCTGTTCGCAGGCATGTATTTAAGGCCAGGGCCGTAGCCACCAATATATAAGTGATACGGTCAGATTCAAGTCCCGAAATTGATTACACTAATAATGATGATACTCGCTCAAAGAAAATATCTTAATCATAACCATTTTGGCCTCCAAGATAAAACGTTCCTATAATATTGGCGCAAAGTCTGAGACCTCAAAATTTTTGTTGTTGCTGCGGGAATGTAGTCCGGTTGAAACCGGACCATCGGACCGGTGGCTACGGCCCTGAAGGCGGACGCGACCTGAGTGTTTAACCCACAAACAGAAGCGAATCTCAGCTTCTCAAAACAAAGTTTTAATGGTAAATTTGTAATAAATTGCATGCTAAACATTCAAACAGAACATAAGTTTAAGTATGCTCACCAACAAATTTTGTTTTTTTAAACTTATTTACAATGTTAAACTCATTTACTCAATACAGGTCATAGGGCCCTGGCTAATTGGGGCAATAGCCATTTTTTTCTTCAGTGGTGGGGCAGAGGAAGGGGCCCAGTGGCAGTGGGGCAAATGCCATGGTATTAAAAATGCCTTGGGTTACAGTCTTATGCTTATCACCACTTAATCTCTACACTTTGAACTGGGCTTATACGTCGCATGCTGCAGTTTTTGTTTTGACTAATTTTTCTTTCTTAAATATTGTGCTTTGGCTTATACTTTGCAAGTGAAAACCAAGCTTTAATATGATTGCACTGAGCTACAATCCTGGCAACAATTATTGCGGGAAAGCACGCGCACGTGCAAAAACAGCAATTTTCAACAACCTCTTCCCTCCGTTTAATGTTGAAAGCTTATAAATTGGTTAGGTGAAAGTCAAAACTAACAGTTGTGGGGGACTAACAGGGGGACAAAGACGCCAACATGTGTATATATGAACAATTAATAAATACTTTAGTTTACATCTAAGTGTCCACGAAATGTTTGCCATGATTGTAGGTTTAATTTGTGCAATATGTTTGTCAGACGTATTGCAAGAGGGTCCTGAATCGGTAAAATGCAGGAACTGGGATTTGCCCATTTGTCGGAACTGGAGAAATAGAGATGAATTTCGCGGCATGTTGAACAGCGGTGGAGCATTGAGCCGCTTTGTATACAGCTAATTCAATTAAGGTTTGTCCAGAGAAAACCGCCAAACTTTGACCTAGCTCTAAGCGCGAAAAGCATTATTATTACGAGATTTTTTATATATATGCATACATATTAGCACATTTTGCTAATCAAGTGAATTTAATTCCGAAAGGAGTCAAGCACATCATACAAACATTAAGAACGTCTAAAAAAATTTAAAAATCCAATGAATTCTGCCAGGTTTGCCAATTGAATTGGGTTAGACGAGCAAATAAAATCCGAGAAAGGTGAAAATCAACGGGAATGGCGATACCAAAACGGCTAGTGTGGAACGTAGCAACCGCGTAACTACGGAGTGTTCGGACTATCAATCAGTGACATATACTATATGTGGTGTCCATCGTGCTTTACGCGCTTAGAGATCGAGGCTTTTTGGTTTTGAGTTTTGATTTTGAAAGGACAACCTTAATTGTATATAGTTTCTCAGTCAGTGTCAGCGCAGTACCTTCTGTCACCATGCATGACCCCTCATATCCTTGCAAGAATTTTACGTTGAATTAAAATTACTTTTGCCAGTTTTGGTCAGATTTTAAAGCGAATTCTTAATTTGCAATAAATTGCAAACAAAATCGGTGAAATCACCTTTTCGTTAATTCAGACTATTCAGTGTCCGTCTGTCAGTGCAGTTGGAACAAAAAGTAAGCATGTACGTGCGGACGATATGGCGGCAGTGAAGTCAGTTATGCTAGCTTTTGATCTGTGGACACATACCAGCTCATTAGTAACATTGCAAAAGCTAGCTTACTAGCTGAATTAGGAAGAGAGTTACGCCGCCAATATACAGTCAACAGTCCTATTCTGCAAAAGATCAGTTTTTGGGCCGGTCGCCATGGTTCGGCTGCTCACTTTCCTATTATTTGCAAGCGGATTAATTATTGTGACTGAAATACAGTTGAACCTCTACTAACAGACACTCTGTAACATCTCCAGACAATGGCATGGCCCCGATTGATATTTCGGAATATTTATCTGTTTTGTCCAGACATCGTTTTGTCCAGGCTCGCAGTTTCCATAATTTATGAGAATTTTAACATGTGGATTTTAATTTCGTCTTGTAAAACCAGCCTAGACCTAGACCCTTTTACTTTGCAGGTGAATGGACTTTTCGCCCGGCCTTCATTCGCGGTACCGACATAGGCGTACGGGGCGGGGGGGGCGGGGGGGGGCGGTAGCCCCCCAGTTTTTTGGGCAGTCGAGCAATTTCCCAGTTTTTTGGGCAGTCGGGCAATATTCGATCAACAGTCGGGCAATTTTGGTTTGCAATTAAAAAAAATGGGACAAATTCTGTCAATTTTGTGTAAAATTAAGTAAATTTTTTGGCAAATTTTGTGATTTTTGGAAAATTGGTGTTATGTTCCGAAAAATATTGGTTGTCCAGAAAATTTTTTTGACCCCTAAAATGGTACACTGACCGAAATTTTTTTGGCGACGGGGGGGGGGAGGAAAAAATTTTTTGGGCAATGTGGAATTTTTTGGGCAAAAAAGCTACCGCCCCCCCCATAATTTAGCGGCCCCGTACGCTTATGGGTACCGACCCCACATTGCCTAGGTTTCAGTCTTCTTGAGTGAAAAAGCACTGAAATATAAGGCCCTACGATCTAGGTTGTTGTACGGTATTGTCATTGAAAAACTAAGACAGGAAAACGACACCAATGGGGAAACAGTGGAATAAAGACTAAAGAGTAAAG